AAAAAAAAAAATAAAACACAGAGAAATTTGATTCCTGCGTCAGAAAGCGTAATCCCCAAGCGTCGTCAATTAACCAAAAATTATTAATCAGTGTCTCGACGTCGTTTAGGTTGCATCGAGTAACGCTATCGCGAGTAAACTCGATGAAAATTAGCAACGTTAACGTATACCTCCAGCTCCTGACGCTGTTTCGAAACTTCGTCCTCGAGTTTAGCGACTTGCGCCCCAGCTTCCTTCAACTTTCCTACGCCGGCATCGAGACTGTTTAATTTCTGCTCCACCTCCTCGTTCCAAGTCACGTGCAGATGCTTCCAAGTGTGCAACAGAGCAAAGAATCGAGCAGGGGCCTGCTGCTGTCGCGGTGCATCGAGATGTGCCTTCACCATCACTTTAACGCCAGGCGGTGTTTCTTCGCGGTCCTCGCCGTCGAGGCCGATTTGTTGGCAGGCTATCTCGGTCAAAGCATCTTCCCAGGACCACCATTCGCTGCCAACTCCAGGGCTGATCAACGCACAATGACTGAGAAGTCCAGAACGCGACAACCAGGGCGAACGAAGCTCTCTGCTGTCCAGGATTATGGCCACTCGAAGGTAACTGCGTAGACCTGTGAAAATGTATAATATAGTTTGAAGTACTATAATATATAATTTTATTAAAAGTAATATTAGTGTGTATATATGTATTGATATTACTTTTAATAAAATTAATATTGACTCGAATTTTCTAGTTTCTTAATATTCTAGTTTCTTGATTTTTAATTAATTATTTTGGTTTTTTGAACATTCCGATCTTTCTAATTTAATAATTCTTCAAGTTTTGCGTTGAATATTTTCCAATTTGCCAATTTTCTAATCTTTATAAATTTCTGACCTTCGATTTTTCCGATTTCTTAATTTTCCAACCTGTCCAACCTCCTATTTCCCCAATTTTCTAATTTTTCTAAATTTTTAATTTCTTAGTTTTCCAATTTTTTTTGTTAGGTTTTGTATTTTTTTCAATTTTTTTGATTTTTCTAAATTTCTGATTTCTTAATTTTTCGATTTTTGCAAATTTCTGACTTTTTAATTTGCCAATTTTCTAAATCCCCAACTTCTTAGTTTTCCAATCGTCTTAGTTTCTCAATTTCTTTTAAATTTTCTAATTTCTCTAGATTTCTGACTTCTTAATTTGCCAACTCTTTCAGTTTCCTATTTCCCCCAGTTTTCTCTTCAGTTTTCTATCTCTGGATTGCCCAGTTCTCTAATTTCCTAATCAGTTTTTCTAATTTATTAATTTCCCTAAATCTCTTAATTTTCCAATTTTCCTAATTTCACAGCTTTTTTTCTACACGCTCCATCGTGTAAATGCAAGAACGCGTCAAACATTCAGCGCCGCTATCTATCAGCACGCTGTGTCTTATTGAAGACACCGAAGAGGTTTGATATATGACATACGATGATAGAGATATTGCTCCAACATGCTGGAAAAATCTTCTCTTCTCGCTACGTCAGCCAACGGCGCTATTAACCCGTCGAGTTCCTCCACTGTAAATAACCCTGGAAGTTCCCCTCTCGACACTATTGCACTGGCCAAAACAGCCAAGCCAGCTTCCCTCATATGATGCTCTTCTAGCAAAAGCAAAGTCGGCTCACCGTCGATTCCAGCGGCTTGAACTGCCGTTTTCACCGATGTTCGACCACGACCTGAGGGATTCAGTTCTCAAGTAGTTATTACGTGATACCCATAATAGCAAGTATAGTACAACTGAGAGAATGCTCGTTATTAACGATCCTTTTCTAACAGTAAAATCAAATTAAACTGATTTTATAATTAACATTAAAAACTGAACTCATTTTAAAAAATTTTAGATTTTATCAATATTAATACTTTCATTCGTTTTAATCATTTAGTATTAATTTAATGCTGTAACTATTTCGTTTATTTTATTAATGTTTTATTAAGACTGGAACGATCATTAAGGTACAAAACCGCCGTCGAGTTAAAAGAAATATGCAAGGAAATTATACGTGGCTTCACGCGACACGTCATCAAGTAGAATAAGAACCGTATCTCGCCAGACTCATTCTACAATCTGCAGGCGAGCGTTTCAATAGAACTTCGCGTTTATTTCTTCTCTGTTGAATTTGCGTACTCTGTTCCTCTTGCGCAATTGTACGTAAAATAAAAAGTGTAATTCTAATTTTTTAGTAGATGCTTTGAAACAGCAGAAACGAATGAATTTCGCTTTCAGATTTGCGTTCAATGTGAAAATTGCAAAAAATTCGACAAGCAACGATGTTGTAATTGGTGATACTGTAATGAGACTATAATTCAAGCAATGATAAATTCACGAATTTGTTGAATCTATGAAATTCCTGAATTTCATCTTTGCATTTAAATTTTAAAGTAAAGATATTGTTTATAGAGTACCAGGTCCCGAGTCTATCAGACGAAGAGAGGAATACATGGCAGCGAGTCTCACTGCTGATTTCCTTCCAGCACCGGGTCGTCCAACTAAAATCACACCCCTCAGATTCGTTCCAAATGTCCAGCTCAAACCTGAGGAAACATGGGACGAGAATTGTGGAGTATCATTCATACGTTTATTCGTACTACTCAAACGTGTCTATTATACAGAGTCTAATATATACCTTCCGAGAAGCCTCTTATACTTTATGGACTGTATAACTATTAAGTGTATTGTTAATAATGTAAAATTAATATGAAATCCATTATACTACTAAACTTAAGTGTTTAAATCGAGTAAAAACAAAAATAAATCGTAAGATTTATCGACGACAAACTGCGAATGAAAGATGGGAATAAAAACGATCAATCACGCGAGCGTTATCTCGTTAAATTTACAAAGTGGACAGGTATTGAACAAACAGGTATCGAGTGGATTAAGCTCGTTTGGAAATAACGTAATATTAAGTTAATTTAATGTGCTTACCGGCCACCGTGTGCAACAGGTGAGACGAAATCGATGCATGTACCGGATCGCCTTCCCTCGCGCATCTCGCTGCTGCGTTAATTATCTCCTTCCGCCACTGTTCCTCGTCCAATACCAGCAACCCATTGTTTCCACGTTTCCATATGTACACATCGCCTCCCAGCGTCACCGATGTCGAGGTCTTCGATAGGATAATGGATTCCCAGCGAGCCTGATCTTTCGACGTCAGCCTGGCTCGATCGACAGAACGAAAAGTGAAAAACTCTTTGCAGTCCAGCAGAAATGTAAAAATCGGGAAATACAGGCTCGATTCTTCTTTAATTTATTTTGTGATAATTACAACGAAGAGTGAAACGAACAGTGAAAAATTGTCGATACACGTAATTTTATGAGAAAAAGTATCATACGGTGATCTGTTTAGTCTCATCCTAAAGTGTGAAGTTTCACGATCGTCAGTTCGTTTCTTCCAAAGATGACTTTCGTGTAGTGGAAAAAGTGAGGATACTTTTTTTTAAAAAATTTAAAGAGTGTAAAAAAAAATTTGTGTGATCGAAATATTTTTTTCATAACTAAATCTACTATAATGTTGAAGATCGAAATTTTCTCTTTACAACGATACCTTAAAACTCGCTATACGATTTTTTTTTCGCCATTTTATTGAACTTGAAATATTATTCTTGAATTATTTTCGTTCAATCCTAATATTCAAAGTTCGATAAAATGGTGAAAAAGAATCGTACAAGTTTTAAGAAAAGACTTTAATCCTTGAAATAATCGTAGATTTACTTGTGTGTAAAAAATTGTTTAATATTCTGAGCCATGTTTGAATTTTCACGATTTTCAAGAATAAGAGTACTCTTCGTTTTAATATAAAACA